AGAGACCAAGTTGTTCTGTTCTATGATCATGAAGAGCCCTATGCATCAGTGATCCAGTTTAGCTGAGGGGTGGATGGATTTAAGGTTCTGGAATGAACACCCAGATCTTGTCTCCTATTGCAAGGTTGGGAACGTCTGGATGGCCCTCGTTGGCATGGCATTTATAGGCTTCCTTAGAGGTGCTTAGGTGCTCTTGGAGCTCTTGTTGTATCTGATGCAGATGGGTGACCAGGTCCACTGCTGTGGATACCAGGGAGACTGTGGGCATGGAAGCGAGGATGGAATCTGTAACTAGCATAAAACAGGTTTTGCTGAGTGGAGGCATGGGTGGAAATGTTATAAACGAACTCTGTGTATGGTAACAAGGGAAGACAATCGTAGTGTTGGTAATTTAAGCATCAGTGGAATCATTTTTCCAAGATCTGGTTAACATGTTCTGTCTGCCCATTGGGGTGAGGGTGATATAAGGGATTCCACACCAAGGATCTTGAAGAAAACCAGGAAAAAATTGTGGAGCTTGGACTTACACGACACCAGAGGGCAAACCATGAAATCAGAAAACAGTTTCCAAGAAGAAGCTAGGGCGAGAAGGAATGAAATGCTCCATCTTGGTTAGAAGATCAACCACAACCAATATCACCTTGCAGCCATAGTAATTCTAGTATAAAGTTCAGTGATACAGTAGACCAGGGTTGTGGCAGAATGGGCAAGAGCTGGAAGAGTTTGAGTGGCTTGGAGCATGGCTTCTTGGTCCAGGAGTAAAGAGTGCAGGAGTTTATGTAATTCTGGACATCAATGCATAGGCCTGGCCACAAGAAGCTTCATGAAATAAGGTTCAGGGTTTTAGCTTGGTCAAAGTGGCTGGTGAGTGGTGTATCGTGACATAATTTTAGAATTAAGAGGATAAAGTGTCCTTCTGGAACATAGACCTGTTCCTTGTAACCGACTGTCCCATCCCTCAGTTGAAATTCTGAGTTGGTGGGGAAACAGTGGTATTTAAGATCTGACAGAGGTGGGTGCCAAACAGTCATGAGACAAGAGAGATTGGATGGAGGACATCAGGCTACTGTCCACAATACCACTAATAAAATTAGATGATTTAAGGACCATGGAAGGGGGTTCTGAGTCCATTACGAGGTATTCATCTTCGCAGGATAGGGCATACACCTTCCCATTTCTTACCCTTGAGCAGTAGAACACCACGAAGTTGAACCTGGAAAAGAATAGGAATCAGCAAATCTAGTGTTGGTTAAGGCACCTGGCCATGGCAGAAGAATTCCAAGTTCTTGTGGTCTGTAAGAACCTACACCAGAAACTCAGCTCCTTACAGGAGATGGTGCCATTCCTTAAAGGCTGTCTTGATTGCTAGTAGTTCTCTATCCCAGATATTGTGGTTCTTTTCTTCTGGGGTTAGTTTACAGGAGTAGAAAACATGAGGATGAAGTTGATTATACATGCCCCTTTGCTCAGATAGTTTGTCTCCAATGGCAAAGTTGGATGCGCTGGTTTCTACTATAAATGGACCAGGTGGAGTTGGAGTGGACCAGGATGGGTGCTGATGTAAAAGCCCTCTTCAAGTGGTCAAAGATGAGTTGAGCCTTTGGGGACCAGAAGGACTGAGCTCCTTTCCGGAAGAGTGCCATCAGCGGAGCTATCAGAAAAGTTTCAAATGTACTTCTAGTAAAGGCTGGCAAAGCCTCAGAACTGCTGCACCCCACCATGTGTCCCTTGGTCTGTCCAGTTAGAGATAGTGGATACCTTGCAGGGCCATGGTTAGTTACCCATGGGAAATAATATTACCTAGGAACTCGATCATATTCTGATCAAATTCACGCTTTTCTAATTTTTCATAGAGATGATTCAGATGAAGCCTCTCCATGACGTGGCACGCATGTTGATCATGAAGAGTCTGGTCTTCAGAAAACATGAGGCTATCATTGAGTTATACAACAAGAAACTGATACAGCACCTCTATATTTATATCATTGATAAAATGTTGGAAGGTCACTGGGGCATTGCACAGTATGAAGGGCATCACCAGATATTCCAGTGTCCATACTGGGTGTGAAAGGCAGCATTCCACTCATCCCCTTCCAAAACCAGAACCAGGTTTTAGTCTCCATGGAGGTCTAGTTTGGTAAAAACCCTGGCAGAGCGAAGTTGCTCAAAGTATTTGTTGATAAGCAACAGGGAGTACTGAGTCTGGATGGTTATTTTATTCAACTCCCAGTTGTCCACACAGTACCACAGAGAGTCATCTTTCTTGGCCACAAAAAAAGATGGGACATAGAAGGACAGATGATCCCCTTTTCCAGGTTCCCTCAGAGATAGACTCTGAGTGCCTGTAGTTCTGGTTCAGCAAGAGAGTAGATACACCCAAAGGGAGCCTCGGCTCTGGGCTGAAGGTTTATAGGACAATCATAGCACCAACGAGAAGGCAGGACATCAGCCTTCTTGCTGTTGGGGCCAGCAGGGACACCTTCAAGCTGGGCCCCCATGTTCCAAAGTCTTTAGGGTGGGGCTGGACTCACTCAGAGGGAGAAACTCTAATCGACAACTGGGCTCAGGAAAGCAGGACTGCTGGAAGTACAGGGAATTAAAATGCACCATGCTTGATCCCCAAATGATGTGGAGATTGTGTGTCACAAGCCATGTGATGCTAAGAATGATTGGAAAGTGTGGGAAATGTACCAAACCAAACTGAAAGGACTTATGATGACCCTGATGGGTGGTGACCTCCAAGGGTGACCTCCTGTGTGACTGGGCCTAAACATAGGGGAGAACTGTTGATGGTCTCCATGCAGTCATGGCCTTATGCAGTGTCAGAATCTTGTGTTTTAGGGAAAATTCTAGGTCCATAAAATTCCTGGAGGCACCAGTGATTCCAGGCTGAGCTCTGTCATTGGGGATGTCATAGACAGAGCAGGAGCTGAAGGTGTGTTGAGCATTGATTAGATGCCATCAAGGTGCCTGAGGACCACTGTAGGAGCCATGAATGGGAGCAAAGGGGAAGTGCTAGCCTCACCCAGATCCCTCTACTGGTGCTGGAACCTGGCATTTTCTCTACCATCCCTTTGCCATACAACTCAAGGCAAAGTGTCTTGGTCCTCTGCAGTAGAGGCATAGCCCTGATGTCCCATGTTGATCTTTCTCTGCATCAGAGAGATGGAGTCAGGCTGTGTCCAGTTGCATGGACTCAGGCTGTGGGTGGGTATGGAAGGTTTTCTGACCGATGCCAAGGAGCCACTTCTTTTCTTGTTGGCATGCCCACAGGCAGTTGTCTATCTTAATGCGAAAAAGGCATCCAAGTTGGTCGGAGCTTCCGCGCACACAAGCTTGCCTTTGATCTTGTTGTTCAGATGGAGCCAGAAATGGTAGCACTGTGCAGCTTTGTACCACTTGGTGTCCGTCACCAGGTGCTGAAACTCCGTAGCTGATTGGTTGGCATCCCAGTCTCAGGGTCTGGAGCATAGCTTGTGCCATGAATGTTCAATCTGAGTCATCAAAATTATTTCCATGACGTAGACAGAATTCTTGAATTGGCCCAAAAAAGGGCTGTATTTTTCCCATAGTGGAGAGGCCCAGACCTGCACCTCCCTGGTCAGCAAACTGATGATGAGCCCCACTCTGGACCAATCCATGGGGTAAATTCGCAGGCATAATAGAAACAGGAGCCGACAATGGTTCAGGAAGTCACAGAACTTTCCATGGTGTCCATCAAACTTGCCTGGTAAATGAATCTTCAATTTTTTAAGGTCCTTGTGCCAGGCTTGAGTATGTAAAGGCAGTGTCTGCTCCTGCATAGTGCTAATCTGGGTTTGTAAATTCTGCAAGGCAGCGACCAACACCAACAAAGGGATGTTAGTTTCTGTGGCATCCATCCTGGAAGAGGAAGCTACCCCAATTTTGGTTTTGGGCTGCGCAAACTGTCAGAGACCAGAATGTGGGTGGTCATACCTAGTAATTAGAGCAGGAGTCCAGCCTAGTGAAGGACCTGGAGTCAGTAGTCTGGAATAGGAACCTAGAGTCAAAAGTCAGGAATTGGAGCTGAGGGCCAGAGCTGGGTTACCTGAATTGAGGCAAGGCAGGAGCAGGGCTGGGGCCAAGCCAGGAGCAGGAACTAATGCAGCTGTGGGCGAATGCGTTGAGCAGCCATTGGCCTAATGCTGCTCCTATGTTTAAGAGCACACCGTTGGTTCCTTCAGGCAGTCTGGCCAATCAGGTAATTCTCTTGCAAGCCAAGTGTGATTCAGCTACAAGTCCTCTGTTGCTCACTAGGGAGGTGAAGCTAGTCTGTCCCAGGCTCAGCTGCAAGCACTAATTCCTGACAACAGGTGTGCCCTTATGCCGATGACTTCAGTGAGTTTCTGTGTGTGTCCCTGCTACCAGAAACAATTGCAGAATTGTGGTCTACATTCAAAGAATAAAGGCCTCTTTTATAACTATAGAATTTATACACTACACTGTGATCTCAGTAATGTAGGTGTAAATCACAAGTGACTTCACTGAAGTCAATGAAGTTACAGCAGTATGAGAAACTGGTTTATGTGAGATCAGAATCAAGCCTTATTATACTACTGTATTTTCAAATATTTTTTTCCTTAGGATGTAAAATTTCCCACAGATTGATGATATTGGACATCCCAAAAAAGAACCTTGGATTCAAACTTCTCCAAAATACAGGAGAAGTTTGGATCAGTATCTGAATTTCATAGTTAGCCATCCGTCTATAAGAGACAAAACCAGAACCCTTGATTTAGTTACCTCATGTTCTGTGAAAAAGTTTGAATCCAGAACTAACCTCAGGTTAGGTTTGAATCCAGAACCCAGCTCCGGTCCATCCTTAAGTGAATCAAAACTTTGATTTAAATCTTCAAATCTTAACCAAAACTTTTCTAATCTCACCATAGATTTAATACCCACTTGTCCCTTTCTTTTCTAGTGCACTGAAGTCTCATTAACTATACTACATAAAAAAATTATTTTTTTACTACTGTTAGGGAGATTAAACAAGAGGAAGAGCCAGATATAGATGTGTGGGAGCTCCTGAAGAATGCTAATCCCAATGAATATGAGAAGATTGCATTTCAGTATGGTATCACTGATCTGAGAGGCATGTTAAAACGTCTGAAACGCATGCGCAGAGAAGAGAAGAAGAGTGCAGGTATGACTTCTTGCGAGAGAGGGTGAGGCAAAGTCTGTGAAATATATGGGGACAAGCTCTAACCTGATTTACACACAGTGAAACCCCACTCAAGTTGTACAGGGAGTAAACCAGGGGCAGGTTTTGGTTCACAGTGCTTAACATAAAAGCCACATACCATTCGGTATTTATCACTAATGTCCTGTGTGCCAAATTGCGGTTCTTAATTGAGCACAACTCCCATTGACTTGCAAGGGAGTTTTGCTTGGTTAAGGACTGCGTAATTTAGACTCTATGTTAGGAGTAACACTTTAGTATTCCTCAACTTTAATAATCTAAACATCTTATTTGCTCTTCGTCATTTATTTTTGTACAAGATGCTTGTACATTTTGTACAAGATGCTTAGTAATGCAAATAGTGCAACATATGTACATGCACACAATTCTGTCCAAGGTAACTGTCTGGCAGGTGCTTGTATACCGGGGCACTTCTCAGGTTAATTCCAGATACTTGTGTTACTCCATTGGTTCCTCAGAGAATTCCCCTTGTGTCAAAGATGTCTCTCTCCCGGAACACAGGTCAGGAAGCATTCCCAGAGAAAAGGGAGCATGGCCAAGGCCTTATTGTATCCCAGTGATCCCTATCTATTGGATCAGTCCACTGGGGCCACTGGCAGATGGATGTAAGTTAGAGCAGTCTTTAAAGTGCTCTAACTTATGCCAGAGACTGGAGAAACCCCTGGCCAGTAACAGTATTGAGGGACCATAAAGATGATATAAGGGCCACCTTTGCTCAATCTCTCTGGTTCTGCATTGAGCACAGTTTGGCCACACCAGATATTCTAGGCCAATAAATCCAGAAATAATGTACATTTATTTAACTATGTCGAGTACTACGAGAAGTAAAATAAATGGTTCTGCTGCTTCAGTCTTGCTTGGAAATTTAAAATTATCTACTGTCATTTACACAATCAGAGATCCATTTTTTTTCCTTGGCTGTTAAAAGCAATTGGATTTAAACTGTCCCTTTGTACTATAATATGGTTCAACTCTTCTAACATACAAACTCATAATGAATGTTATAGAAAAGGTCACTCTCTCACTCCTATTTACCTTTTCATAAAACATAAACAAGGGGACAGTCCATGTAAATGAAGAACAACATATTTACAATTAATAAAAAGAAATACTTATGGTATTTTTTTAAAGATAGCATTTAATTAATTTGTAGAATTTATTGCCAAAAGATATTATTGAAGTGATGAACTTAGTGTGATTCAAAAAGGGATTAAGCATATGTCTGAATAAACTTGCTCTAAACTGGCACAAAAATTTACATACAACATCAAATCTCTGCTTCTGGATAGAAGTCAGCCACCAAATTCCTGAGGTCAGGGAGAAGTTACCCATCTCCATCACCATAGCCATGTTATTGCACAATTGACTTTTATGGGTACTGTTTCTCATCTGATGAAGCATCTGGCACTGGCCAGTGTTGAAGGAGAGAGTATTGGACTAAATGGGCCTTTGATCTGTACCACTATGGCAGTTCCTCTGTTCGGTGGAACTCTATCTAAAGGGGGAGAGGCAGGTGGAGCCATGCAGGGAGAATCTTCAGCTCCCCTCCCAGTCCTGGTGCAGGAGCAGTGCTGGGAATCAAAGCAGGAACTGCAGAGTTGGCAGGAACAGCTTCACCCCAGCTACACATAAGGACATTTGAATCTTTTAGCAGGAAGAATGGGAAAGGAATACAAACTGCTCCAAGGGGTGAAGGACCAGGATGTCCCTCAGCACCTGCAGCAACTCTGATTAGCTGCCTTTTCTATTCTCCCACTCTCTGGGGAGAGGCTGCCTAACCAATGAGGTTTTTTCTGCTGCTGGGGTTTTCCTTGCAGACCTGTAGGAGAGTCTGAAAACCTATAGACCTTGGGGAAAATCTTTAGCTTTGGCAGATCTGTAGAGACCTTTCTTCTCACCCCCCACTAATTGCACTATAAACTGAGTGTCAGTTTCAGGGTAACTGCACCTGTATCCCCACCTCCATGGTCCACTCCAGGAGATCCCAGTCAAGTTTCAGGTGTTCAGCTGCCACCTGTCTCTGGGAAGGAACCCTGCTGCCACTCCCTTCTGAGAGGGGGTTTTAAGGCTGCACAACTTCCTGCCTTACTCTGTGATATTCCCAGCAAGCCAGTTTGCCTTACAGTCAGTGCCTGTGCATTGTTTTTTCTCTCTGTGGGCTATGAACAATGTATAGAAAACAGTTACAAGTTACCACACAGCTCTTGCTAAGCAAGCACATTTATTCTTAAGGTAAAAGCATTACAGAGAAAACATAAAAAACAATGGAAGTTCCTATGCGTATGCTAAAAGCTTATCAGAGGTTACCCGTCAGTTTTATGAGGCCCTAGTAAGCCAAAGTCTCTCCAATCCTTTTGCAAGGGAGAAGCCCCCCTTTCCCCCATAAAAAGATGGTCCTGAGTCAGCTTAAACACACCGCTTTTAAGCCAAAATGTTTGTTTTCTTTGTTTTCATAGTCTCTAGAAACTCAGTTTGAACTGGAATATGTAAACCTCCCCAAGGGAAGATACCTTTCTGGAGGTGTTTACAACATGAGTGATTTACCTTACTCACCCCCTCCCGCATACACACACAGTTCTAGTTCCTGAAGGAGCTGTGGTAACCCTCCCTCCTGGAGTAGAAACACAATCATACATATAATCCCTGACCCACAGTGATACATAAATTTAATACAATCTGCTCCCCCCAAAGATACTGCATGAGGTTGCAATTGCTGTCACACCGAGACTGACTACACTGAAATTAGTTATGAACAATTTATCTGTGGGAACATTTTCTTCACTTTCAATCCACTGGGGACATGTTCCTCTGAGTCTCACTTCTGCGCCTGAATATAAATAAAAACCCAAAGTGAAATTCTCTTGAAACCTCTAGGCTTTACCTAGCCTTATGTTTAAATGAAGTGAAACCATACATTTTATATGATTTTTATACAAAGCCACAAATTGGCCCAAAATTATAACTCAGACCAGGTTTTGCTTAAGCAGATTTGCAAACCTGAATGAATCCTTTGGCAAACCTCATTAGAGTTTTGAGCTTGTAATGAAATTTGAAACTGGACTACTTTTGCCTGGTTTCAGGTATTTTTATAATGCTTTGCACAGTTCCACTATAAAAGGAACTGCAGTTTGCATATTCCAATCCGTTGAAACAATTTGGGACTTTCATTCACTCTTAGGCAAACCACAAAGTGCTCACTCTGACAACACGAAATTCAGTGGGAATTTTACCTAAGTAAGGACTTCAGGGTTGGCCTAAGTAGCAATAACAACAACAACTGAGAGTTCCATCGTAGTTAAGTTCATTATAAATGGTTCCATGTTATGTACTGTATCAGTCCCAGTTGGGTTTTGCATTATGCAATGTCCTTATAACATGCAAATTTTCATTTGTTTCTCCTCTTCTTTTCATACACCCTGCAACAGCTTTTTCCAAAATTCTGGATCCTGCATATCAGGTGGATAAAGGAGGTAAAGTAAGGTTTGTGGTGGAGTTGGCAGATCCAACGGTAGAGCTCAAGTGGTATAAAAATGGCCAAGAAATACGACCAAGTACAAAGTAAGTGATTTTTACTAAACACGTCAAATAAATTCCACACACTTTCTTGCTGAACTAACACATTGCATCTTCCCTTAACGCTGGATTTGTTTTGTGTAGATTTACCCCTCTTGGTGACCAAGCTCACACCAACTTCTTTTGCAGACTGTTTATCATAATCAAACTACATATAAGTTATATGCACGCTGTAAAGGTGCCAGTGAACTACAGTTCAAAGAACAATCCACAGTATGCTTCAGTATTAATATAGCGTGTTCTCTGCATCCCCAGGAATAGAGAGGAATGTAAAATATATTCCCACAACAAAACATACTGAACTATACTCTGCCCTCTAATCTGTAAGGGATTGGGAAATGGTATGGTCAGAATTACTCTATAGCGGTTCTGCAGCGTGACTTGAAGGAGAGATGGCTGGCTTTATATACCAGACCATGCGTCATGTCACCGGGAGGGTGGAGAGGAGTCTATAAATTAGGGGAGTGGTGGTTGGGAAGATAGGGGAGGGAGCAGGTATGGCCAATGCTCCTTGAATCAATTATCGCTTATGCTAAGGTCAGCACCACTTATTATCTATCAATGGATAAGGTCAAGGTGACCCTGCTCCCAGGAACAGCAAAATGTACTCAACTCAAAATCCCAGTACACTGCTTGCATTAGCCTGCCAAGAACATCCTTACCAGCAAGGCCCCTGTACAGAGGACTCAGTGAGTAGCTTTCCCTTCTCAGTATTAGCCGGTGCAGGATTTGGCCCAGTATTAAATGACCGCCATCATGCAGAAAGTCTAGGCGTTTTTTCTTTAATCCCTTAATCTGCCTTGACCAATTCAGGGTTCCACCACAGGCTGATTTGCGGACACCCATCCTGCAGGTGCTGAACTGAAACCACCAACTCATTTCACACAGGCTGCAGAACCTCTGCCAAATGCTAATAAGTTTTGGTCATTACTGAGGTGAAGCAAATCTGAACCAGGGACATAAAGGTGAAATGCTCCATATCCCGTTACAACTCCCCTGAGCCATCTGGCCTACCAATAATGGTAACTTCTTCACCTCAGCTGTTATTGTACCTCAAAAACCTGTTAAGAGTGTCAGAATGAAGCCTAGGCTCCTGTTACTGGTTATTTTTTCTTTTACTGGTCTAGGACTTCAGATACCCACTTTGTTCTGCTATCTTCAAGAGCCAGTTTACAATTATTTTTCCAAATAATTGTGGCTGGGATTTTCAAATGAGCCAAAGGAGTTAGGTGCCAAACAAGCCTATAGCTTTTCTTGCTACTGGATATTTACTACCACATCTCCATCCTTGTTAAGGCTGGAGAAGACCTGTCAGGCCACCCACTCCAAAGCCATGCACAAAACAGGCTTTCCCCCCACAATAATCCCTTGAATGTTTTGTAGTTAAAAGGAGAACAAAAGAGACCAAGTTTTTCTAACTCTGGGTTGCTCTGTGCAAATTCAAACAGGTACATTTTTGAGCACAAAGGTAACCAGCGAATTTTGTTCATCAATAACTGCACAATGGCAGATGACGCCCGCTATCATGTGACGACTGGTGATGAGAAATGCTCCACAGAACTGTTTGTAAGAGGTAGCGTACATCATCTTGCTTTTTAGTTTTAATACAGCAGGCCAGATCCTTAACTGTTGTAAATCAGCATGGCTCAATCTATTGGAACAATGGTGATTTACATCAGGTGAGGCTCTGGCCCAGGGTGTGTCGGTATGTCCTATCCTCCCCATCCCCTACGATCTCTCTCTATCTCTTTGACAACCTTACTGATTCTTCTTTCCTCCACCTCTTAGTGTTTTAGTGGTAACTTCAGCGCATAGAAGTTTTGTGAAGCTGTGATCCTCTGTAGATTGCAACCTATTTTGGGGATCCACTGACTACAGTGTTAGCCTTCCTAGCAGCACAGAGATTTGATGATACTCAATAGACTCAAGCCAACTGAACTTTTGAAAATCATCACAAACCAATCTTTCCAGCTGTAGATTTAGGCCACTGACCTTAAGAGAAAACTCTGCTTTCTCTCAAGAGCATGGATTGGTGGCTGGCTCTCCAAGTCTCCCTGCATTTGTGCTGTTAACATTCTTATTGGAATCACTGATGGTGCTAATGGTGCACAAGCAGGGAACTGAATAAAAGGCAAACCTTTTGGTTAAAGCTGCATTAGAAAATTGAAGGGAAACTCCTGTTTGTAGGAAGAAAAATTACAGGAAAAGAAAAGCCATTTCATATATATCAAAAAGTTATTTAAAACAATAGTGACTAAAAACCCTATCAAATAGTTGTCTGTGTCCTTTTAAATTAATGTAGTACAAGGGTTGTATTCTTTCTTGCTTATTAAGTTGACTTGAGTTTTAACAAGCAGGGATGCATCTAGCCTATGAAGATTCAATACTATGCCATTTCCATCGCAGCGTATGATGAGAACATTGTACTCTGGGGGATGGAGGGCTTCTAGGAAAGTAGGAATGTGGATCTGCACTTAATCCATTTAGGTTAACACACTGTTTGTAAAATGGATTAAGAGGTAGGTTTTTCTTTTAACTGACTCCAGATCTTGCAATAACTATACCTGCTATTTGTACATGGGCCATCTTCTTACTGATTTCAAGTAGAAAAAAGCCGAAGTCTTAGCCAATATCTTAAGAAGATGATTGACATTAGAATTTTTAAAATATAATTATTTTCTGTACTGTTACAATACATTTTTTCTATTTTGTTTAGTTATGTTTCTGAAACATAAAACCATAATTTTTTCTCATTATAGAGCCCCCAGTGGTGGTGACCAAGGCCCTGGAAGACCTGAATACCTATGTTGGTGAAAGAGTAGAATTATCCTGTGAAGTATCTGAAGAGGATGCAAATGTGAAATGGTAAACCACTTTCATCCACCTCAGAGTAGATGCTGTTTTCTCCAAGAATGGGAAGTGCAGTGTCTTAAGGACCGTTTAATCTTCTGTGTATATAATGTGAAATGTGACTAGAAAAGATCAGAAAATATTGTTTTTAAAAATACTGTGACAGCAATAGTATGTTTTTAGTTTAATGAATTCCTTAATGAATTAAACTAATAATAATAATTAAACTCCCTGAAAAAGCACAAGATCAAATCCACACAGACACACCCCTAGAACCCCAAACAGGGGTATTCTATCTGCTACCCAAGATCCATAAACCTGGAAATCCTGGACGCCCCATCATCTCAGGCATTGGCACCCTGACAGCAGGATTGTCTGGCTATGTAGACTCCCTCCTCAGGCCCTACGCTACCAGCACTCCCCGCTATCTTTGAGACACCACTGACTTCCTGAGGAAACTACAGTCCATCGGCGATCTTCCTGAAAACACCATTCTAGCCACTATGGATATAGAAGCCCTCTACACTAACGTTCCACACAAAGATGGACTACAAGCCGTCAGGAACAGTATCCCCGATAATGTCATGGCAAACCTGGTGGCTGAACTTTGTGACTTTTTCCTCACCCATAACTATTTCACATTTGGGGACAATGTATACCTTCAAATCAGCGGCACTGCTATGGGTACCCGCGTGGCCCCACAGTATGCCAACATTTTTATGACTGACTTAGAACAACGCTTCCTCAGCCCTCGTCCCCTAATGCCCCTACTCTACTTGCGCTATACTGATGACATCTTCATTATCTGGACCCATGGAAAAGAAGCCATTGAGGAATTCCACCATGATTTCAACAACTTCCCTCCCTCCATCAACCTCAGCCTGGACCAGTCCACACAAGAGATCCACTTCCTGGACACTATGGTGCTAATAAGTGATGGTCACATAAACACCACCCTATACCAGAAACCTACTGACCGCTATACTTACCTACATGCCTCCAGCTTTCATCCAGACCACACCACACGATCCATTGTCTACAGCCAAGCTCTATGATACAACCACATTTGCTCCAACCCCTCAGACAGAGACAAACACCTACAAGATCTCTATCAAGCATTCTTACAACTACAATACCCACCTGATGAAGTGAAGAAACAGATTGACAGAGCCAGAAGAGTACCCAGAAGTCACCTGCTACAGGACAGGCCCAACAAAGACACGTTCTTATCAACTGCTGGAAATGGCCCATCTTGATTATCACTACAAAAGGTTTTTTGTTTTTTTTTCCCCCTCTCTCCTGCTGGTAATAGCTCACCTTAACTGATTACTCTCATTATAGCATGTATGCTAACACCCATTGTTTCATAGAATCATAGAATATCAGAGTTGGAAGGGACCTCTGGAGGTCATCTAGTCCAACCCCCTGCCCAGAGCAGGTCCAATCCCCAACAAAATCATCCCAGCCAGGGCTTTGTCAAGCCTGACCTTAAAAACTTCTAAGGAAGGGGATTCCACCACCTCCCTAGGTAACACATTCCAGTGTTTCACCACCCTCCTAGTGAAAAAGTTTTTCCTAATATCCAACCTAAATCTCCCCCACTGCAACTTGAGACCATTACTCCTTGTCCTGTCATCTGCTATCACTGAGAATAGTCTAGATCCATCCTCTTTGGATCCACCTTTCAGATAGTTAAAAGCAGCTATCAAATCCCCCCTCATTCTTCTCTTCTGTAGAACAAACAATCCCAGTTCCCTCAGCCTCTCCTCATAAGTCATGTGTTCCAGACCCCTAATCATTTTTGTTGCCCTTCGCTGGACTCTCTCCAATTTTTCCACATCCTTCTTGTAGTGTGGGGCTCAAAACTGGACACAGTACTCCAGATGAGGCCTCACCAATGTCGAATAGAGGGGAATGATCACGTCCCTCGATCTGCTGTTTCATGTTCTCTGTGTATATAAAATCATCCTAGTGTATTTTCCATTGCATGCATCCGATGAAGTGGGCGGTAACCCACGAAAGCTTATGCTGAAATAAATTTGTTAGTCTCTAAGGTGCACAAGTACTCCTTTTCTTTTTAATGAATTAGTTCATTTAAATCTTTTCTCTTGCCCTATGTTGTACAAAAGCTTCTCTTAATCTCTTCAGGATACTTATTCATGCAGAACTTGCTTGATATAGTATTAGCAATGGTAAATTTCATTAAGGAAGTAATATTTATTATCCTCTATCAGGTTTAAGAATGGTGTGGAGCTGACCAATGAACCTAGATCTCGATACCGACTTAAGGTTGATGGTAAAAAACACATTCTGATCATAGATGAAGCTACAAAAGCAGACAATGCAACCTATTCAGTGATGACAACGGGAGGGCAGTCAGCTGCTAAGCTTGCAGTTGATTGTAAGTACTGTACATCTTTCTATTTGTGCTTGAAATTTTACTCCTGTAACAGAACTAGTACACTATTGCTATTTGCCTATTTCTACGAGTCTACTGGGAAACCTGACCAACATATTTATTTATTTATTATTTGTATTACCGTAGTGCGTAGGAGTCCTAGTCATTGACCAAGACCCCATTGTGCTGTGTGTTTTAGAAACACCGAACAAAAAGACAGTCCTTGTCCCAAGGTGCTTACAATCTAATTATAAGACACCGGACAACAGTTGAAAACAGGCACAAGGAGGAGCATAACGATACAATGAGTATTGCTCATCATGATAGACAGTGATTCCAACTGATTTTTCTCATAGTGATTTTTCTAGTGCTAATCTCCAGGATCAGTGCATTGCATTCTTTTCCTTTGGCTATTATGGGGGTTAACAGACAATTAAGTAGGGCTGGTTGAAAAATTTCAGTCAAAGCATTTTTGATGAAAAATTGGGTTTTTGACAAACTTAAATTTTTCACAGAAAGTGTCTGCTTTTCTCAACATTTTTAACTTTTTCATTAGAAAACCAAAAGGCAATTTTTTTCACCCAAAACCAGAAAAAAAACAGCGTTTTTTTATGAAGGGTCAACATTTTCCATGGGGAGAATAAACCTTTTCCAACCAGCTCTGTAAGTATGAGTAGTGCTACTAGGAACTAGTTCCCTAATCCCCAACCCTTAGACTTGTCAACAGAAAAAAGAATAGAAACAATATTGAAAATACGACGTAGAAATACATGCAATTAACCTCCCACACTGGAGTTTTGGCAATATATCTTTAAAAGTGGCTAGAATATACGTTTTCTAGCCAAGCATATGCACATTTGCAGTTTACTGCTTTTTTACTTTAGGGCAAGTGTTGGAAATTATTGTAACATACTTTTAATCATTTTGTAAGTGTGTGTGTATTTATGACAGAATATAATTTAGCAGAGCTCATTCTTCGAGACCTATTAAGTCCTGCAATGTTTGCGAACATGTCCCATTTTTGGTTAATCTATTTCAATAGGTCAAGATAATAGCTATCAGGAGTATGGCTGGCTGTGAAAATTATTAATATACACAAATTTTCATCTCTGGTTCACCAGTCTGAATCTGGTCCATGTTGCAAGTGAGAGAAAGCAACTACCATCTTATAAGTGATCACTGGTATATATAAATTTAAATTTGTGGTCTCACTACAATTACTAGTGGAAGAGATGTACCATCTGTCCTATGAAGGTGGTCCCTCATTGACATGTTGTTAAGGAAAGCATGCACAGTGTTTGCCCATTCCTTGCCTGTTTTGTGGACCAGAGAAGGAATTATGTCTCTTGTACCGTCACCCAGTCAATATGGCACTTTTCAAGAATACACACAATTAAAGAACTTCAGTCACTGTTACATGAAACAATCAAAAGCTAAATGTTTCACAGCTTAAGTAAAGAATGCATATCGGCTTTGTATATATTACTAGTATTTAGCCATGAGAGGGTTTTTGGGTTAATAATCATAGGGGCGCTTATCTGATTTTCAGATTATGGCTGCTAGTAGCAGCTCCCAAATAAAATCATGAATGGTTATACAATATCAGCACTAATTTCCATGGTTCTCTTTTCTGAAGTGAGACCACTGAAGATAATGCAGCCACTAGCAGACCAGACGGTGAGGCTTGGGAAAGAAATCACCCTGAAGTGTGAGATATCTGAGAACATAGAAGGGAAGTGGTACAAAAATGGGCAACTTCTTTCAGCTAGTGACCATGTAAAGTTATATCACAAAGGAAGGTAGGCATCCTGAAACATGAATTGTAATAGTGACTGACCTCAGGCGATGCCAGAGTGTGAATTGCCCCATTGATATTTTTCCACCCCTCCCATTCAACCCCCTCAGAGATATTTGACCTCACAATAAGAGCAATATTTGTCAGCTACCATCTTCACTGCTGCTTCTCTATTTCAGTCAGTTTACTCAGACTGTTGATTAGCCATAATGGAATATTTCATGATGTACCTACATTCAAGGGATGCATTTTGCCTGAAGTTTCTGTATTGCACTCCTTGTAGGACATTAAGTAGCAAGATTAAAACAATTATTAAAACAATTATTAGAAATGATAGAGAAATTCCATTTTAAGATTTCTGTTTTACTGTCTGTTTCTATTCCATTTCCATGTATTGCGCACAGAATTCACATCTCTGCCAATACAAGTTATGTGCATTTATCAGGTTCCTTTGCATTTAAAATCTCTGGAGAATTAGTCAAATGTTCAGAACGGAATTCATTTACTATTTTCTCCATTTTAAAAAAAACTAAGAGCCAGATCCTCGACCACAATACTTTTCCTTTGCCCTGCACCAACACACTAAACCGGGTATCTGGGAATTCCACATGTGTAGGAGAATTCTTGGGTGGTATAATGCTACCATGTTGGCTCTACTCACTCTTCCACCACCCCAATGTAAGGAGCACCTTGGGACAAATCCCAGCTGCATAATAGACCCTTATGTTGGCATACAGTAGAATAGCCTTGCCGTTGCTCTAACCTGTGGCCCCTGGCACCCTGGGCTCGGGTACGGGAGCCATAAAGGTGGTATAAAGCCACTTTTCCTGCACCTCTCAAGTTGGGTCCTGCCCTGAGCATAGCTTAGCCGAACCAGAAGACAGGAGCCCAAAAAAATCTGTGTATTTCTGGAGAGTTCACCCAGGCATAGGATAGAGAGCAGCGTGCCTTGCTTACTCCCCTGCCACTCTGTTCCAGGGACAGAAACAGTAGAGTCACAAGGAAGGACCAACAAAAATAAGGCCTAGTTCGTGGGAAAGGGGCATCAAATTTTCTCATAGAGATCTAATTGCAACTTATAGGCAGTGGCTCAACACACCTGAGTAAAACAGATTACACTCCCTGTAGTTTTCCATTTCCATGATCAAACGGAAAACATTAAGAGCCCTAATTAGTCCTACTTTCCTTGATGCCCTTCTCAAGAAAATCAAATTCTAATCACCAACAGTTTAATCAGCTAAAACACTATTTAGTATACAGTAGCAAAGATTTTTTTAGAGTCAGCAATCTGACACAAATGAGCAGACCTGGTGAACTTATAACTTGAGATGTAACAATTCTTCCTTTTATCTGCATAAAGTCTACAAAATATAACTTAAATGGGTTTCTTTTTTAATTTTTCACAGAATCCACAGGTTGGTTATAGGAAGCTCCATTGTTGATGATGAAGGTGATTACATGTTTGTACCAGATGCCTATAAAATTAACATACCATGCAGAGTACATGTCATAGGTAAGTGCATGACGCATCTATAGTTTATAAAGTTTTCTTTGACCTGTGGAAAGTGAGTGCTGTGTGAGAGATCCAAGATTTTGGTCAGAAATTCTTCAGAACACAAATGCAATCTCCCATTAGCAAACCTGAGTTTTTACTTAGGCAAAATACAAGGGAAATAGTAAGAAATCATGATCTGGTTATGATTTGAGGGCCTGATCCAAAGACCATTGAAGCCACAAGAAAGATTCCCCTGCTGAATTTCTAAGCCTAAAAATAAGCAAGTTTTAAGAGTTTTCTTCAAACACTAGCTGCTGGGCCTCTAGGTAGCATGCGTTACAACAGCAGAATGCAGCGTTATGTTCTTCAAAGTTTTGACTTTCAATCCCATTTGAATTCTGACACTTTTTGTCAACTGATTTGATACAGGAATAGTGGTACAGGTGCACTTTGCCCCACATACCAAGTGCATTAAGCAATCTATGGTTAATTTTATTCACCAAGATATGTTAAATCAGTTAAATATGTGGTTTGTTAATTAACCCAATTTTTCAAAGAAAAGTAAAACATCACAGTGACTGTCCCCTCAATAATGCCCTGTTAGCTGGGTTATGAATCCTAATATTAATAGTAACCATTGAATATTAGGGGTGGCTTTGTCAAACTGTACATCTTTAATATAATGTTATGTTACAAGAGCCATATATAACAAAATACAGGTATCAGAGAGAGAGGAAACAGGCTAAGAACAACAGAGAATGGCAGTGACCTATCAATGGCTTTGCTGTGGGCCTTTGGAGAATGTTTGGAGGTGGGTGGTGTAAGAAAGGTAATAGGATTGGTTGTCTTCCCCCCCCCCAAAAAAAAAAGATGGTTCAACTATATTAAAAATATCAGGGAAGCACCCAACTTAGAGTGTTTTGGACCACGTTTCTCTGCATTATATTGCACAATTATGCCCAGGTCATTGTACTTACCCAAATGTGCTTCTCAATGTGGCAGGACTATAATGAATTTGGCAATGTCTGAATTTTCAGATCCTCCTAGGCTCCACCTGGAAGGTCTTGGTGACGATAACACGGTGACAGTAGTAGCAGGAAACAAACTACGACTGGAGATCCCAATCTCTGGAGAGCCGACTCCAAAAGTTATGTGGAGTAAAGGGGATAAGGTATAACAGCTGGTGCTACTATATGCGTATTTCTGTAGTCTGGGGAAGGGCCTTTTTCACCAAAAATAGTTTTCAGCATAGTGAGTCAATCTGTTTTAATAGTTGTATGGCCCTTACCCTGGCAAAAGATAATGAGGAGACACTTGCTCAACTACATTGTATCTCCATAATTCTGATTCCAAGGAGAAGAGTAAGCTTTATATATATTTATGGCTTGTTGTTGTTTTCCATTTGGTGTTATTTTGAAACAAGGGTTGGATAGCTAAAATCATGCAGCTGGATGAAATGGTCTTGCTGTACATACAATATAAAGGGCAGGGATGAATCGGACACAGCGTAGAGTAGCCTGCGCAATCCTCTCCTCTGCTGAAGTGCATGTTTCTGTTGGACAGAAAAACCCAATCTCCATGCTCCTTTGGAGAACTGAGCCAAACATATCAGATGTGCTATTATTGGAATGTAGACTGCTCTTCTCATAGATTCCTGGAAAAGGCTAAAAGGAACCATTATGATTGTCTAGTTTGCATAACACAGGCCTACAAATTCCTGCAGTTGAGGAAATTGTTCTTCCTGTAAACTAGCTGAACTGCAGCTACTCAGTACATTTTAAATAGCACTTGAATTGCATTTCTAAAGTGAGTTGCCTTATTAACCTACTCTTCTGATGCTTTCAGTTTCTATTTTGATGGGTTTTGGTTCACAGATTCAAGCCATCTGCTTCACAGGGGTTCACGCAGTCGGAAAATTTAAACATAACAGTCCAAACCACCAATGCTTTACCTGGTTTTTGCATAATTTATGTAAAACTGCAAGGTTTTGACAAAAAGCCATAACTTAGCCCATGTTTGCAAATGTTAATGACCCTCTTGACAACTATTGGAGTTTCAAGTTTGTAGTGAAACAATGAGCCAGGCAAACTCCTTATGGTGATGCAATGCAAAACTTCACATAGATCTGTCTCTGGCCACATAGTTCCAAGAAGCCAAATTTATCACCTCCATATTTTCAATGCAGCATGCAGAGATAGGGACATATGGTTCTCATTGACTTCTGTAAGAACCACATGGTCAAATCCTTATGTATTCCTTAGTAAATTTTAATGGTACTGTCAAAGCTAAGAGTCTCTGAAAGGATCCAGTCATGATTGACCCATCCCTTATTTGTGTTGTCATTTTATTTATAGTAAGTGGTTGAAACTTTGAGCTTTACATTTAAAGCTCAAGATGGTTCCTGTAGTTGTTTTGCAGATTTCTTTCCTTTAAATGTACTGTAGTGTACTTTAGTTTTGATTTTTGTTCATTCTGGTTCTCAAGTCAGAAAATGCTATGTTTCCCCTCCCCTTATTTTGATTCCTAGTGGATCACGGAGACTGGTGGCAGAATACGAGCAGAAACTTATCCGGATAGCAGCTGTTTGGTAATTGATATAGCTGAGAGGGATGACTCAGGTGTCTACAAAATAATGCTAAAGAATGAGGCTGGAGAAGACACAGCTAATATCAACATCAAGGTGGTTGGTAAGTCATTCTCATGCACTAGGCCACAACACCAAACTGGCAGATTTTATCATATCTACTTCACTTTCAATAAATACTTGTTAAAGAAATCCCCCCCTAGAATCAGTTTCTTTTTCCCATATGAGTCTTTCATATCTCTTATGGTGCCCTAGGGCTCCTCTGTTTTGTGACCCACTCCAGTGTTTGGCATTCCAGATCCCATCCTTCTAGAGGGACCCTTTTTGGAGCCTTATAGATAGACTTATCAGCTGTAGGGTGAAAGAAACATCTGAAGTACCTTATGTCCAGTGGCTGTCTACCCTCATGATCTGTTTAAGGTACTTATGTGGCTCCCATTTCCATAGCGTTTTGGCACACACCTCACTACCTTTGCTGTATTTATCTTCACAACTCCCCTGTGAGGTTTTATCACCATTTTACAGAGAGGGAACTGAGGCACAGAGAAATAAGTGACTCACCCAAGTTCACACACAAAGCCTGTGGCAGAGGAGGGAACTGAACTGGGGTCTCAGAAGCCACAGCATAGTACCCTAGCCACCAGATCATCCTTCCTCTCTATGAAGAGGTTTGCTCCAAATTAGTCAAAAGGGTTCACAAAGTGGGAGCTCTTTTTGACCGCCTGAGCTAAACATTGAAGCCCACATTCCTATAGTGCTCAGGACAGGATTTCATTTCCAGCATATTCTGACGTTTTCTTCCCGCCATGTATCTAGTCACAGTAACTACACCTTCTTGACCTCCAGACTTGGTTATTGTGACGTATGTATTCTGTCTTTGAAAGCTGCTCTTAGTCTCACTCTCATGGAAAAGCCTGATTCCACTTTAAGAATTTTTATTTTTATTTTGTTTATTTTACAGTATTCTGTGTCCTCCTTTACTTCATTTTAGAAAAACTTTTTAAGGTTCATTTTCTTCTAATTAAGATATGTTTATTGTGTTTGCAACAGATGTTCCTGACCCTCCTCTTGCACCAAACGTGACTGAGGTGGGTGAAGACTGGTGTTTTATGAACTGGGAACCTCCAGCCTCTGATGGCGGGTCTCCTCTTTTAGGTAAGTGCCTTTCTTTTGTTTGGTGATATCAGAGTATGGTCAAGGGAAGTGAACTCCAAAGAAATGGACCCTGAATTGAAATGGCTCAGCCTCTGGTCCTGGAAAGTTCAATTCTTGGAAATCCACAGGAAAAGCATCATATGGCTGTTAATCTCTATAAGAGGTGTTCTCTTGGATATCTGGGTTACAGATCCTTGGAGACATGAAGACTATCCTCACCATCTTGTAATGTTATTAAATTACCACTATTCTGACAGGGCTGAGTTGGGTGAGTAATTTGCGTATTATCATAAACCACCAAACTCTGAAACTTTGTTCTTTTTGTGAGTTAGCAGACTTAGGGAACAGATCCATGTCTAGCTGAGCAGCTTCCAATATACAACAATAAATGGACATCAGGGGTGCTCAGAAGCTGGTAGACCTGGGCTCTTAATCACTGTGGGCTAAATACTGTGATGTTATAATATTACGTTTAAAAATGGTTGCAATTGGAGGAGAAAGCCTAACTTGCAACTGTTAGCAAAACCCCAAGGATCAGAAAGGAATGTAGAGTGGTAGCCAGAAAAGGGTACTGGCCAGCCAAAAAGATGGCATTCATTTTGGCTTTGTATCTGATTGTACAAATGCTGGTCCTTTATTTAAGTTTACATAATTATGTTTATTCAATAGGATATTTCATTGAAAGGAAAAAGAAACAAAGTTCCAGGTGGATGAGACTGAATTTTGACCTGTGTAAAGAAACAACATTTGAACCAAAGAAGATGATTGAAGGTGTTGCTTATGAGGTCCGTGTATTTGCTGTTAATGCAGTAGGAATTTCCAAACCAAGTATGCCCTCAAAGGCTTTTGTTCCCTTGGGTGAGTAAACCAGAATATAGAAGTATCTGCACATTTAAAACATTGGCTTGTGTATAAAATTTTAAAGAGCCACATCCAACAGTCCTAACTTTCTGCTTGTAATGTCTTCTTTTTGTGAAGCAAGGGGATGTTTTACGCAGAAGAGCACACGAGTGGCATACAGTGGACAGAATTCATGAGAGAATAGGATCAGTGACAGTCTTGGTCCCTCTGTGTATTCCTTATAAGAATCTCCCATTCTGGAAGCAACCAAGCCCTGGAAATTAATCTTTAAAATTGGCCAAAAATCAAACGTCAATATTTTCACGTTGAGTGGCTCAGTGTCATGTGCTATGAACTCCATATGGAGATCTGAGTTTCTTTCACACTTACTCCTTTAGTAATAATGCTTAGCACTTGCGTAGTGCTTTGCCATTTCCAAAGCCTGTGCAAACAGTAAATTATCCTCTCAACCTATTGTAAGTTGACTGGTATCAGCTCCATTATACAGATGGCAAAATTGGGGAAAAGTAGTTAAGTTGGCCAAAATCATCCAGTAAGTTAGGTAGCAGAGCTAGGATTCAGACTTAAGGGGGTCCTGGGTTCCAGCCCTGTGCTCCATTGACCATACCATGTTAGTGAAATCACATTTCTTTTCCCCAGAACGGCTAACGTGGTTTCAACACCTTTTCTTAGCCAGGGTAAACTAACCACATTGTAAATAGTTTTGCATACCCGACTATGTATTATCTGTAATGTCGTAGCACCTAAGAGCCCTATTCATGGACCAGGACCCTAGTAAGCCCCAACCTGGTTAAACCTGATGGACAGTGTCCCAGAAAGCCATGCTGGCACCTTTGTGGAAACACACATGTTTTTAAATGATTCTGATAAACACAGTTTCCCTGTAGTACACACAGTACCTTATTCTCTAGGTCAGTAGGCAGTGGTGGCCCCCTCAGGGCCCATTCCCAGGGGCTCCAGCCAATTTGAGGGCCCTTGCAGGAATGCTGGAACCTCTGTAGAAATGGGGGGGCCAGTGGCACTGGAACTGTGGCTCCTCCCTGCTCCCTCACTTCCCCCCAAGGGCCCACCCCCTGGCCAGGCCAGAAGCCAGAGCTGGGCCATAGTAAGAACTGCCCAGGGAGCCAGGACACTGTGGGGAGCCTCAGACCCTCCACCTGCCCTGGGTGGGGGCCAGCATGGCAAGAGCAGACCCTGTCCATGTCCATGTCCCTGTCCCTGCCCAGGGGGAAGAGGAGGCCCTGTGGAGGGGGGGGGGCTAAGGCCCACCTCAGCCTTGCACTGGGAAGAGTCTGGCTCCACTAGCAGGGTCTGCGCATCATAGCAGGAGCACTTATCAACTTATCAGCTCCCCTGCCGTGAAGCACAGCCCCTTCCAGCACTGCTTCGTGCCTGCCCAATGCTACTATGCCCATGTTAAAAGGTGGACAGGCATAGCCCTCCCACTTTTAAAAATGGAAGGCCTTGACTCCCTCCCCTAGTTCCAGCACCCCTAGGCCCCCAGGGTGTGGGGGGCCCAAATGTTCTTTGTGCCCAGGATCCCAATAAATCTTAATCCGCCTCAGTCAGTAGGGTTTTGCTGCCTTTTACAGAGGACACTCATAGTCCTAGGGAGCATAGGGAAAGAGTGACCTCTCCTCTTCTGAGAGTAACAATACTGTGGTCTGAGGATCTTCTCATCTATCCAAATATACATCAGTGCTGAAGAGCCTGGTAAATGGAAGTTCTGGGAGCAGTTACTGGAGGGCCAGTATTTTATTTACTGAGCAGGTGTTTCTTAATTTCTAATGGGACAGAATAAAACACACACCTTTCATAAAGGTGAGAAATAAAGCCTTAAATTCTCCAGTATCTGTGCCCTAGAATCTGTTTTGCCACTTTGGGCAGCAATTAGAAGATTCCCGCTTGCTGTATATCATAAGTGCACACTTTAATGCTAATACAAATGTTTTCTTTATTTTTAGCTGTCACCAGTCCACCAACTCTCCTGGCAGTTGATGGAGTAACTGATAGCACTGTTACAATGAAATGGCGGCCACCAGATCACATTGGAGCAGCAGGTTTAGACGGCTATGTTATAGAGTACTGCTTTGAAGGAAGTAAGTGACAACAACTATAGCATGCTCCTAGTGCTTAAACTAGGTGAGACTTGCCCCACGTTTTCTCCATGAGAGCTGACTGTTGCTTTGAGGTAAAAGTTAGCCAGCCAGAATTCTCAAGCTATGGGGTTTCATCCAGGCTCCTTTCTAGCTACTGCACACCTATCCGTTCCTACATTTGATCTGGCATTGCAAAACAACATCCGGTTAGTCTAGTGACTTGGGGGGCAGTGCACTGTGCTGATGTGCAAGAGTTCATTGTTCAGGGGCTTCCACAGCTTGCTCCCTGAGGACATGAAATCTGGCTATATCAGAGAGATTAAATATTTGGATGGATGGGGGAAAAGGAAAAGCAGGACAAATGAACTTCCTAATTGGCAGTTGGAGAAAACTGGAGAACCACATTTCGACGTGTTTTGGATTAAAGTCCAGTCACATAGGAGCTTGGAGAGTCTATATCTGGTATCTTAAATCTGTTCAAAATACTAACAAAAGGCTTTCTCTGTGTTTGGAATCAATAGTGGCTTCCTCGAGTACCAGTTTCACATACAGAGGACAGACAGCCCTGTGGCTGTGGTATGATATCAAATAGAAGTGGTCCAAGCCACAAAATTCAGATTTGGATTTGAATGCCCCTTGCATTTGGGAGAGTTCACGTACAGGATTTTTCATTCCGATTTAGAGGAATATAGGAGGATAGGAGGAGTGTAAAGGTGGAAAAGGGGGAGAGAAAATTAAATGAGCGGAGGAAAATAAAGGGAGACAGAGAAGTGCAAACAATATATATCATACAACCGGCAGTTTCACTGTGTAAAGTGATCAAATAGCAAAACCTCAGTGTTTCCCAGTTACATACTTAGCAGAAGCTTTCTTCTGAGTGGACACAGAAATGGAGTCTGGGGGCAGAAAGCAACGAAGGCTGGTGACATCTGGAATGGGTAAGCAAAACTTGACACAGTGGAATAAGCAAACTCTAGTCATTGTGGGCGTCCAAGATGACTATTTCTGGGGCATCCAGGGGAATGAGTCTGCCAGAGAAATGCAAATTTTGATGAACAGTGGTGCAGTTTAGTTCATTTTAACCACTTGCGATGTTATCTATGCTGTAAATCTAAGGACTAGTATAACCATATTACACAATTCTCTACAAATGAACGCCAGTTTGTGCATTTAAATCAACAGGAGTTTTTCATGCGGAAAGTCTGTAGGATTCAGCCTGAAGGCAAGAGCTGTACAGGATAGAACATTTGACCCACAACAGGAAAGCTTTTTGGGATTTAAACACCCCAGTGGAAAAAATAGAGCAGAAAATCAGCCAGATCCTGCATGGTACTGAGTGCCTTTAAATCTCAGTCAAGTCAATAGGAGCAAAGGGTTGTCAGCATCTCTGAGGAAGCCCTCAGCACCTTGTAGGAGTGGGCTGAAAATCCTTAAGGAGCAGGAAAGAAAATTGAAGAAGCTCAGAGGTACTGAGCAGTTGACATAAAGGTAAACACAACTGGAACGGTAGGAAGGGTTTTCCTTCATGTATGGAGGGAGGGAGATGGGAGAAGGTCTGGAAAGAGGAAACATGCAGTACTAGATCCAAATGAAGCACATACATGATACATTCATATTTTCCTATGATATTTCAAATGCACAGGCATGGATGTTATTAATAAACCCTGTAGAAAACACTGTACTAAGAAGGCAACTGACGACTTAATGAATCTAAGAGCTGCCGTACATTATGCCCTTGTTCTGCACACATAGTTCCCACTGAAGTCAATAGAAGTGTTGGGCAAAAAGAGAAAAATCAGGGATATAATATGGCCGTAAGGTCTCAGTACTATGTAGCTCATTGCAGAACAGCACGAGGAATTTTCTCTAATCAGATAAGAGGCTAAATACACTATTTATGATAATACCAGGGATAGTATTGAGAGGGATTTTCCAAATATACATTTAAAGTGGTAGGAGACCAAAGATCCTTGTATACCTGTCGAACAGAGCAAATTCTTTACTTTTTTTCTTTCAGATAGGTTTAAAACATAAGAAGATACAACAAAATGACCGTTGAATCTGTCATTTTGGTGTTACCCACCTCAGATAAAATACAATGATTACAATGTATTTTACATAGATTTTTGTGTGTGTTTGTATATATCTATATATGCCTCACATATATACATATACATTTATATATACACAATCAAAATTATGTATGTATATATTTTATCATAACATTTAGGAAGCAAGCTTTATAGAAAATACAAATAAATAGATATTTAACTTACTGTGTATCCCTTTTTCTTTCTTACACTGTTCTCTTCAGTCTTTTCCAGCGTCTGTTGTCCCTCGGACTAATTTTTCTATAATGTTTAATAATTCTTTTGAATGTCAGGGTCCTTTATGACTGTATCTTTCATCTGTCTGATTCTGCCTTTCTAGCCCGCTTCTTTATCCCTTCAATAGTATGTTGTCTCTTTCTTGCCCTTGAATGTGTGATTATTAGAGTATTTTTAATCATCAAATTTTTTACAAAAAACCAGAGGGTGGTAATAGGGAGAAGGGGGAAAATCATAGAAATATATAGATTACAAGTGTCAGGTGTCACAGGCATTGGTTTGTACCCTAGAAACCTTTATTTCCCAAGTGTAGGGCCTGATCCTGCAATTAGATCCACACAGATGGATCTCTGTAGCCATTCAGAGACTCACTGGCTTCAGTGGGTCCCATGTAGCTGTAAGGTTGCATCCACATGTATCTATTGCAGAATTGGAGCATTGGGATGAATATCTAGAACTGGGCTTGCACTGTGATAACAGGAAATACGTTTCAATGCAGGAGATCCTACCCCAGAGCCAGCCTTTAATATCCAACTTGATTCTTCTTTAAAAAGGGGGTGGAAGGTCTTTTTTCCCCCTTTATTCCTTGGTGGGGAGGAATTCCTGGAGGAATTAAACCTCAGTAATATAGGGACTGACCTAGTTCTTTGTGTCATCTCAGGGTTAGTTAATGAGCTTTTGCTGACTACAGGTGAAATTCATCCCTGTACAAAGGGCCTGCACAGGACCTGTACAACCACTTAGACCTGGGTCTATTCTGAAAGCTAGCAATTTGGCAGCTTACAAGGTTTTCAGTTGAATTGGCTCAGATTCTTGCCATCACATCCACCCACCAGCATGCACCAGAACCAAAATAATGGATTTTTTAAAATTGTGGAAATTGCAGAGCCCATGATTCTATGGCCATGACAGCTGTAACCTTAGGGGTTACTTTAAATTAACTTTTATTCCTGCACTCTGCTATTCTTCTTTCTTTCCTTCCCATTAGTTAAATTTGTCCTCTCTCAAACGTCTTTTTCATTCCTTCCCTTTTTCTTTGTCCTCCCTCTCTCAATACTCTTTCTTGCCATTCCCTCCTTTTGTACTATATTTCCTTCTCTCTTTTTTCTCCATTTCTCTCCTCAAACTCTCCTTTTTTCTCTTTCCTTTCCCCTTTTCATGACTGATCAATCCAAAAAAAAATTTCTTCTGTCTTACCTGCCACCTTTTCCCTGAGCACCATGAATTGTTCAGAAGAGCATCTCTTCTTCCCCATTAGCCATCTCTAGGGCCATAATCACCCTGAATAGTAGCTCCCACGCACCTTCAAAGTTAAAACTGGCCCAAAGAAGAGGTCCTGTTGTGCCATATGTAGTTTGAGGGACAAGTTGTTTATCCAGATATGATTAGGCCTCATTTCTGTTCCCACCTGAGCACAAACTGGGACCAAAACGCGTTCTGGAGCCACTAGAGGTTTTACTGTAGGGATGCTCAAATGGAGTGAGGCAAATGCCCTGATGCTCATGGGTTTAAATACCTGGATGCACTTCCCAGTTCATTGAGAGATTCAGGCACAAAGCACCCAGGCCAGGGGATAGGGCTGAAGACAGCAAAGCAGTGGTATGAAGAAGAATGGGGACCTGATGCAGAGAGAAGATAGTACAACGAAAACTTCCTTGAGTTATCCTATTTGGGTCAGGTGTGGTTCGTTCTTCTTCAACCTCACATTATGGATTGAGCCTTGGCCTTAATAAACCATGGACAAAACCAGTTAAACTACTCTGCTTACCTGGAAGAGTACTACTTATACAAGCTTTATTCTGGTGACTGTCCCTCACCCCAGATGCACTTTGCCTGCAAACTCCCTGATCACCCTACAGGTTCCTCCTCTAAATCTTCAGGGAGCAGTACAGCTCTATGCATAACTACTAACAGGGAATGCTAACCACTGACAATACTCCTGTGTGAAAGTGGGTGTCTGATTAATTTTAATGATGGACTCTCACAAGGTATATCGGCAGATCTGTGTGATGAATTGGTGGAGGCAACTCATGACCTGGAAGGTACAGTATTCAATGAAGGTTATAAAACTTTCTTATGCATACCAAGACAGATTTCTGAGAGCCTAACTGACTTTGGGGGCCATGAACCTCCAGAACCTGCAGCTTTACTTACCAACAGAAAGATCTAGGAGCATTCAGATGATGGGGAAAGGATCAGGAAACTGAATCCCTAACTCCAACCCTCTTGCGTTTAGTTGGAAGAAATTCTTTTAAACAGAACTGTGTTTAATCTCTTCCTAAGAGTGGGTCCCATCCTTATAAAAATGTATCCAATATTCTTCAGTTATTCTCCAGTGCACTAAAGCTTATAATAGTGCACTTACTTGTCTTGACGGCCAATACCACAGTGGTGTGTTTTTTTCTTTATAAGCAAAGTTAAACTCCTGACTTGTTGCTATAGCAATCTGACTCTGAATGTCAAAAAGCTAGGGATCTTAAAGTGATCCAAATTTGGAGGGCAGGAGGGGAGGGATGAGGGAAACTGTGTCATATGTAACCTGGGCTTTTCTAAAAATATGTAATTTTGCAATGGATCCACGAATTATATGTGACCGTATTACAGCAAGATGAAAAAACTGAGAACACTGGAATCATTTGAAGAACTCTGATCAGTCTTGTCCTTATTTCGTAAAGTGATAAGCAGAGAGTCTGTTTTTCATGGCAGCCCTATTTGTTAAAATTCTAAAGCAGCTAAATAACAAATACTTCATTAATTAGCATTAGAGCGAACAATAGAATGCAGTTAGATCATATAAAACATTTCTGTCCATACTTAGACCTCAGAACACTCTACAATTGTAAGTAAATATCACTAACTTCATCTTACAAATGGGACGACTGAGGTACAGAGAGCTTTGGTGTCCTACCTATGGCCAGTCAGTGGCAGAGCTGGGGGATAGAACTCAGATTGCTAATCCTAGGCCCTGTCCATGAACCATGCTGTCTCCCAAATGAAGCAGTAGCCATAGGAAAACTGACATTTCATAAATAGCTAATTATGTGCTACTATCCTCTATACACGACTGGTGTGATTTTAAAAAGTGCTCAGTGCTGGTCTAACTGTGCTCCCACTGAAGTCAATGGTAAATTCTTCATTGACTTCAACAGAAGCAGAGTTAGGCCAATGCTGAGTGCTTTTGAAAACCACACTCTATAGGCCCTTGTTTTTTATCAACAGACTTTTAATGGATTTCTTTAATTACATCCTGTAATTACTGTTCACATGTATTTACTTTTTAAAAAAGATAATGCTGAGTATCCTTAGAAACATTTCCCTCCTTATTATCTCTGTATTAATCCAAATCAATGTCATATAATAGCATTATTAGAGAATAAAATCGTTACTCAGCAACAGTCTCTGTGCAGTTTTTGGCTATACTATAAGTTTTCTTGATGGAGAAGTGATTATGTGTAGAATTCTGTAATTTTGCCCCCTCTTTTTTCTTTTTCCTAACCCAGCGGAAGAATGGCTAGTGGCTAACCCTGAACTGACAGACAAAACAAGGTACACCATCACTGACCTGCCAGCTGGTTCCAGAATTTTCGTGAGAGTAAAAGCTGTGAATGCTGCTGGTCCCAGTGAACCTAGATTGCACCCACAACCTATTCTAGTCAAGGAAGTGATAGGTGAGCTACACCACTGTTTCTCTCTTCTCTCCCCAATACACACACACTTTCAGCGTTCATGCTTCCTCTTTCTTGTGACTAGCACCTGCAGTTGGAAACTGCAGAAACACTGCCATGCAGTCACATGCTGAAACCATGCCAATGCAGTACTGCAAACTCCAAGCATTCAAAAATCATGAGATTGCCTTAGAAATAATACATTTTGGGTTGTTTTTCTTTGCCTTCTGGTTTGTTTGCGTTTTTTTGAAGCTTTAGGCCTCATGTTTTTAAGCTTCTTTCTACAGCCAAGAAGGCTAGAAGTTTGCTTTTTTCTTTTAATGAAAGTTGAGATTCTCATGTACTCACAGGACTCCAGGAGCTGGGGCTTAAAAAATAATAAATAGCACACCAAATCTGATGAGACTCTTGATAAAATTGCAAGAATTGGCAACACTGATGCTGGATAGAACAAGCTGCAGGCACAGTAGTGAAAGTAGGCCACATCTATCACTTCAATTTGCTTTTTCATCACCTCAAAAAGTGGAAAGAACAGTAATGCAGAAAGACATGGTTACACTTACATTCAGTCTCATTCCCTTCTTGTGCTGCTGACCAGTGCTCACATGGGCAAGATTTGAAATTTGAGAGCTAGTAATAAAGCTGAATTTGACCGTCCGTTCATACACACTTTGTTGTCCACTATTGGATCTGTACAACTGCCCTGGCACCATGTGAAGTGATTTACCCCCCAATATCTTTGTAGCCAGCTGGGACCAAAGGTAGTTAGTTGTACATTGCCTTTGCAAGTGTCCAGTCCAGGGGGCTGCCAGAGGCTGGTTTGTCTTAGCATAAATCAGAGCAGTTTAGCATGGGGCCAATATATCAAGCAGGGATCATGAAAGTGTAGCAGCACTCTGAACATTTGACACACTCCCACAGCCCTTTCCTGTGGTGGGAGACTCCTCAGCTGGCCAGATAGTGCAGTTTTAAAGACCTTCTGAACCACTGGAATAGCACAGAAGGGCTTTAGCAGGAGCTGTGTCTGGCCCTTCGTCTTTTTGTGTAGTTTGATCATTTTTAACGGTGTCCATCACTACCGACCCATTAGCCTATCAGTGCGCTCAGCACTTTCTAAAAAATAGGGCCCCTTTAAGGTGTCTTAAGTTGGGAACCCAAAAGTGGAGGCATCCAGTTCACATCTCACTTCGGAGGAATGTAGGCCATAGGTTTTAATGTTACTAATGTTGGTGCTCACCAACATTGTTAAATTCAATATCACAGCTAAAAACAAAAACACGCTTTTTTTTTTTTTTTTAAGAACCTCCAAAGATTCGTCTACCAAGACACTTAAAACAAACCTACATTCGAAGGGTTGGAGAAGCTGTGAATCTTGTTGTTCCTTTCCAGGTAAGAAACAAAGACACAGTTATTAATGCTTATTTTTCTTATATTGTGATTGTTAGAACTGCATGTTATACAACTGTGGTGGGGCATGAAGCTAATTTAAGCAGAATTAAATCCTGGACAGCCAGGACACCTGCCAGATGGCTCTTTCTGTGCCTTCTGAAATCAGATTGTGCTCAGCTGAAAACTGAATTTTGTAACTAGCAAACAGTGCTGATCTGTTGTCTGTTGTCCACAGAATACCCATAATCTCCAATGTAGACCTGCCATTACACACAAGATAATCACTAGCACAGCACAGAGCAGTTGCAATAGGCGGACAATGATAAGATATGGTGCCTAGAGCTGAAATGTGACATTTATTCTCTGTCTTGCTTTGGGGGTGATGTGAAGTTTCACCAACCCAGCAGAATCTTTGTGCAACAATGCCTCATAGAGCCCCTAGGAAGCACAGCTGTTGAACCAGAACTTTCAAGGATGCAACATGCACTTTCTACTCCAGCTGGTTAGCTCTGCTGGCTGGAGGCAGGGCCATAGCCTGACCTTATCTGACACCCTCTGCAGAGGCTAGCTGTTCCAGTAACACTTGTCTGCAGAGTCTTTGCTCTGCTGAGTGCAAGGTCCCCTACTGTGTCCAGACCTTATGCTTTCTCCTTCCTTTGTGCACATAGACAGATGCCGGGCACAATATATGCTATAGGAAATGCTACTCCTGGTAAATAAAAGTACTACTGTGTGGTGTATACACTCAGCCAAAATACTCTGAAAGGACTGAAGTTACCATATTTGGACAGCACGCCTGAAATTCTCGTTTCTAGAAGAGCAAACTCCCAGTAGTGACATTGCATGATCAACAAGTTAGTGTCTATTGATATCACACTGTGATTCTCTTAGGGCATCTGCTTCTGAGAACCACTGAAAACAAAATAATATTGCCCATTAAGTTCAGAAAAAAACAAGTATATGAACATGTGACTGCCTCTGAATTGCCTTGTGTTTAGAGTTATCTGCTTTTTCTTTAAAGAGTTTCCACCATTCTGGTTCAAGAAGACTTTTATTTTGTCTTTGCGACAGCCTAACACCTCTTTCTCCTCCCAGAAGCATACTTCAGTTGTTCCATGGCTTTTTACAGGGAAGACCAAGGCCAAAAGTATCTTGGAAGAAAAATGGCGTTTCCGTAGACAAGAATCAAATTAACATCCGCAACAGTGAAAATGATACTATCATCTTTATCCGAAAGGCAGAGAGGAGCCACTCTGGAAAATACGACCTGAAAGTGAAAGTAGAAAACCTGGTGGACAAAGCTACAATAGATATTCAAGTAGTTGGTATGTTTAAAAAAATAAGAAAATGTATTTTGGCAAAGCAGACTCCAAAAACTTGTTACCAGTGTGCTGGAAAACATGAGATTTCCAGTTACAGCCTCCTCTGTACCATGGTACATCTCTACTTCAGCTCACTTGGCCAGAGATTCTGAGTGAGGTCCTCAGATAGTGTAATTGGGGACCTCTGTACAAAACGTCCATACCAGCCTGAACATTCCAGTCCCACCCTAGAATCCTACACTACTTCACTGTTTGTAATGGATTTTTATGTTCCATATTTGTCAGAAAAACTGAAGCTTTTTACTGTTAAGATGGCACTCAGTCAGATCTGATACAGCTCTGTTGTAGCAAGAGTTAGTTTCTCACAAACATGACTTGGAAGAGACCATCAGTGTTAGAATCATAGAATATCAGGGTTGGAAGGGACCTCAGGAGGTCATCTAGTCCAACCTCCTGCTCAAAGCAGGACCGATCCCCAATTTTTGCCCCAGATCCCTAAATGGCCCCCTCAAGGATTGAACTCACAACCCTGGGTTTAGCAGGCCAATGCTCAAACCACTGAGCTATCTCTCCCCCCAAAAAAGCCTTATGATGGAAAAAAGAGAGACACCTGGGAAATCTCATACACTATCTATCTATATCTTATAGGTGAAGCTGGTAACACAGTCGATACTTAAGCTTGCCTGAGACTTCCCATTATAAGATCAAGTTTTCATTTGCTTATATCTTTGCAAAAATAGTAGGTGATTGTGTAACTGAAAACTGTATCATAACACATGTGCACAGTGGAGTCAAATTAAAGGTTGCACAGGCAACTTAAATTCTGGTATTTCCTAAATTTTGAGTGCTTGACTTTGCAGTCTTCTTTTAGCATTGTTTTGTATGTGTAAGATATATATCTACAGCTATCTAGATATAGATATAGATAGAGATATATCATATCTGAGAGAGAGAGAAACAGAGAGCAGGCATAATGGAAAGATGACCGTGCCATATCATCATTACAGATCGCCCTGGCCCACCACATGTTGTAAAGATTGAGGATGTTTGGGGAGAGAATGTTGCTTTAGCCTGGCAGCCACCAAAGGATGATGGTAACGCTGCCATTACTGGGTACACGATTCAAAAAGCGGACAAGAAGAGCATGGTAAGTTATAAAATATGTTTGACTCAGTTTAAATCCAACAGTCACCACGTTCTTTCTTTTAAATATAGAAAGCCCTATTTACATGGACAAATGTCAATGATTGAGGCATTGGATCATTACAGAACCACACTACTACTCAGAAAATCTCAAAAGTTCATCAGAAAATCCCAGTGTCCACAGTACTCGAAGTTTATAAATGAAAACATGTGTATTTACAAATCTGTGTTCAGATTAGAGATAAGAAAAGGAGTACTTGTGGCACCTTAGGCACTAACAAATTTATTTGAGCATAAGCTTCTGTGAGCTACAGCAGCTTATGCTCAAATAAATCGGTTAGTCTCTAAGGTGCCACAAGTCCTCCTTTTCTTTTTGCGAATACAGACTAACATGGCTGCTACTCTGAAACCTGTCATTATGCAAAGCACAGATTAGAGATGGTGCAAGTGAGGGGGACGGGTGGGAGTAGCTCGGAATCTCATTTGTCTAAACCCCTCAGAGTTTGCGGGGAGCTCAGAGAAATAATAATTCTGTTTTGTTCCCTCTGGAAATAGAGAATCAAAATCCCAAATGCTCATTTTGGAGGCAGTGTGGCCCCGCAGGTAGTCCACTAGATGGTTAGGAGATCTGAGTTCTATTCCCAGCTGTCACTGGCCTGCTTGGTGACCTGGGGCAAATCCCTTCACTTCTCTGTACTACACTTCACAAATTAGGTAAGTATCATTAACCCTATTTTACAGATTGGGATACTGATACTTACCCAATATGTAAAGTGCTTTAAGATTTACAGATGAAAAGTGCTATATGAGAGCTAATTATTGTAATTATATCACAACCAAGCCCCTCTTTTATAGCTCTGTAAGAGACAGTGGTTGGATTTCTACATTTAATAGATACTGCAAGTTTGGACATTGTGAATCTAAGAGATATGAACCAGTTTGCATTAGAAGAATACTAATATTCTGACCTGCTGTGTGACCTTTTACCAGTCAGTTCACCTCCCTGTGACTTTATTCCCCCTCCCACCCTTCATCTTTCTTTAGATCATAAGCTGTTCAGGCCAGGACCTGTCTCTGATTATATCCATACACAGTGCCCAGCACAATGGGGGCCCATCTTAGTTCAGACTTCTAGGTGCTACTGTAATAAAAAATAAAATAATAACTAGTGTCCAAAATGTACTCTTTGCTCATAGGGCAGTGATTCCATGTTATCTCCACGCTGTCTGTGACAAGAATTTTCCTGTAATAGTACCAAGTGGGATTTTAGATAATGATTGTTTCCAAAGGGATATTTTCTGAAAACAGTTGCCTTTGAAGAAAGGGAGTCCCAAGTTCTTTCAAGTGGATGATCCTTTCTGAGTGCTATGAGCTATATTACTGGGAAGTCTAAAATAATGTGGCTCTGCAGGTTTAATACATATCAGTACAAACTCTGGCACAAGATACTTACACAAATATATACTGTGAGAAAGGAAGACATCTGGAAGGGGTGGCATAAATAAAAGAGAGAGCATTTTCATGGTCAGATTCTGCTTTACGTGAATAATATTTTTAGCATTAGACTTGCTGATCTCACTAGGTGGATATTGTGTACCAAGATCAAATTTAAATTTGGTATTTAAAGAGATGCCTTTCATCTAAACATGGGTCTCTTGAGAGCTATGCAGATAGATGCCTGAAGCAGTATGCACTGGAGTATATAATACTGCCCAAGAGATGAGTGTTGTGCCAGAAATCACAGGAATTCAGAGCTGATGAAATCACATCCATAGGACTTTGTTACAGAAAAAACAATAACCCACATGCCATACATTGAATGCTTATTTCTGTCCTGTAACTTTGTCCCAGGAACTGCCTCAAAAACTAATTTAACAAACAGGGTTTTTTAGCTGTTTGTTGCACTGTGTCAGTGTCCCTTATTTACACATGATTTCTCAAAATTAAATCAAGAATGAATTGGAAGTCATATTTTTATCAAATAAATTACCTCGTGGCTACTGCCATGAGAGACCTGGCCTCTTCCAGTCGCATGAGTCTGGCTGGGTGAGCGTTACACACTGCTCTCCTTAGACCATACTGTTGCTACTGCTAAAGAAAAGAGCCTCTAAGATCCAGTCACCGTGCTGATCGAGTGTCTGTAGTTTGGGCAGTATGCACTGCTCCTCCTACCCTATCAACTCTTCTTAAGTCATGAGAAATCACCGGAATGGAATCATACTTCTCATAATCATATTGTTCATTTAGCCTAGTGCCAGAGGAGGCAGATTCGTACTGGGATGTACTGGGCTCTTGGAGGTTGACACATTAGAACTTCTAGTTGTTAGTTTTGTTGTTTTGCAGTCACTTGCTTTCTTATCTGCAGCAGTACTTTTTCTGTCAGCAATATGAAATCTGAGTGGCAGAGCCTGCCTTTCTTCTCTTGCACAATAGGACCTTTGTAATATTGCACTTCCTATAATTATCCCACCTGACTAACCATCAGTATGTGACAATTTAATAGAGTTCACTTTCCATTCACCCTTCATAGCACAGTGGTGAATTGCTTGTGACTCTTCCATCATCATCCAGTTATTCTGTAGTGATTAGCTTAGAATTCATTGCCATTAACTCAGTTATTGTGTTATGCCTTATTGGTTATATAAATTCCTTAAAATTTGTTCTCATGCTTTCATATGCACCGTGGCTATTCTAAACCCTAGCTGTTGATAAATGAAGTGTGTTGCAGGCAAACTCAGTCTGTGTTTGTGTCTTGCAGGAATGGTTCACTGTAATTGAGCACTACCACCGAACCAGTGCCACCATTACTGAACTCATCATAGGAAATGAGTACTACTTCCGGATCTTTGCTGAAAACATGTGTGGCCTCAGTGAGGACGCAACAATGACCACGGAGAGTGCTGTGATCGCAAAGGATGGTTAGCTGTCCATTATGTTCTGAAGGGGGAAGGGTGGGTTTCAGAGTGGGGAAGAGAGTAAGAGACAAAAAGATTTGAGTCTCCACTGTTTGTACCTGGTGTAGCCACTTACACCAGTGCAAAGTGAGTGTAAATTGCTGCCATTCCAGTTTGGTAGTGTATGGCATTCACTGCGCACAACTACAAATTATGGGACAAGCAACAAACCAGGGGAGGATGACGCTTGATTTTAAAGGGTAACATCAGTTCCCCTCTCAATTCTGAATTATTTATCTGAGCTTTCAAACAGTTTAAAGTAGAAACGAAGGTGTTGTTGTAATCTGTACATTAACTGTTGTAAAGTAGAATGGCAGTGAGCATGACCTGAGTTCAGGAATGCTCAGTCTCTTCCATACAGTACGTACAGTGAAGGCAGTTGGCTTAAGTTTAGAGAGATGAGTGACAACAGTCGCTTGCTGTATGAGCCAGTGCTAATGGCATTCCTGCTGGCAACGCAGAACTTTGTTCTCTCACTCGAAAGAAAAGCGTCTCCATTCTGCCCATCAAAAATGGGGACTGCCTAAGAAAACTAAAAACAGTGAGTTCACAAAGCTGGCATTTCTCCGTGAGATCGCTCAGAGCTGAAATAGTTTTCTATTTAAAAGTGGGGTGGTGGTGGTCAGAAGAGGGGGCTGTAGAAATTGTTTCTTGTCACTGAAAATTCACCCTTGTGCCAAGGGCCAGCACAAGGCCGATGCACCTGTGAACACCTGTTGGAGAGCCTAAGTAAGGTGTAAGTGGTGCGTAGCCCTTGGTGCTGGCCCTTGGTACTGGGTGAATTTCACCCCATATGTCCATTCTATGCATCAGCGTAATTAACAGAGAAAAATAATTTATTTACTACTGTCAGCACCACAAGGGCAGATACATTATCAGTGAGAAAGCCAGCTCGACTAGATTTTGTTTGATACAGAATCAACACATTTTCTGCTGTCTTTATTGATGGTGCTTGTGCAATATAAAGCAGAATTACGTCTGGCTTTTCAGAGACTGGGCCAGCCCAAGTTTACTGTACTGGCAGTTAGGAAATACTAGTTGTAGATGGAACAAATTAGGAAAAGAAATCAATGACAAGAATAAATGTGGAACATTAAGTGACATTTTATAGTCACTGCTTTGATCATTCTTACCAGCCCGCTAATCAGTATTCATATCGTTGTACAAAGTGTGTGTGTGTAATTGCAGGCGTGCACACAGAGTATATACATTATACTTAATATACCATGTATTTATACAACAAGGGAAGATTTTAAATCCTCTGTACAGTATGATCAGAGACTACAGCAGAGATGGGTAAACTACGGCCCGTGGGCCACATCCAGCCTGCGGGACCGTTCTGCCTGGCCTTTAAGCTCCTGGCCGGGGAGGCTAGCCCCCAGCCCCTCCCCTGTTGTCCCCCCTCTCCCGCAGCCTCAGTGTGCCGTTCCACCAGCGCTCTAGCCCACCGCTCCTGCCGGGCTGCACGGGCAGCGTGGCTGGCTGCGGCAGGGCCGCGAGCTCCTGTTGCTCTAGGCAGCATGGTAAGGGGGCAGGGAGTGGGGGGGGGGGGTTGGATAAGGGGCAGGAGGGTCCCGGGGGGCAGTCAGGGGACAGGGAGCAGGGGGCGGTTGGATGGGGCAGAGGTTCTGGGGCAGGGCAGTCAGGGGTCAGGGAGCAGGGGGTAGTTGGATAGGCATGGGAATTCCGGGGGGGCTGTCAGGGGGCTGGGATGTGGATGGGGTCGGGACAGGGAGCAGGGGGCGTTGGATAGGGGGTGGGGTCCCGGGGGGGGTGGTTAGGGGCGGGGGGATCCCAGGAGGGGACGGTCAGGGGACAAGGAGCAGGGGGCGTTGGATGGGTCGGGAGTTCTGAAGGAGGTTGTCAGGGGGCGGGAAGTGGGAGTGGGCAGATGGGGGTGGGGGCCAGGCTGTTTGGGGAGGCACAGCCTTTCCTACCCGGCCCTCCATACAGTTTCGCAACCCCGATGTGGCCCTCGGGCCAAAAAGTTTGCCCACCCCTGGGCTACAGTAACTTTCCAGGCTCAAATCTGCTCACTGCTGCTAGTGAGAATGAGTGCAATAAATGGAGTTACATTGGTATATAAAACAGTGCAAACTAGAGCAGACTCACTCTTTACAATTGAATACTGTTGAAAACAGTATGAAATGCTTAACTTTGTTCTAACAGCTCCGAACGTCTTGTATTTATTTCACAGGTAAAATCTACAAAAATCCAATTTATGAAGACTTTAATTTCACCGAAGCACCAATGTTTACTCAACCTTTAATTAACACATATGCTGTAGCTGGTTACAATGCTACTTTGAACTGCAGTGTTCGAGGAAATCCAAAGGTATGGCATACCACTTAATAACATCAGTGAAGGGAAAGGAGAGTTTAATCAGACACTGATATTTTCTAGTACTGTTCCTGTTCTTATAATTCACACACATGCTCTAAGGAGAATCAGTGGGCTAAAGAATAGAGCAAGAGTCAGGATTCCTAAGTACTCTTCTCCGTTCTGCCATTGATTTGTTGTACCGCAATGGACAAATCACATCTCCTTCTGTCTCAGTTTACCCCTCTACAACATGAGTATTATGAGATTTACTAAATCCACAGATTATCCTAATGAAAATGTGGATTTTTCCAAACTGATAAGGCAAATGTAGGGTTGCTACTTCAGTAACTCACAAGAGCTGCATGGTCAATACATCAATAAGGATTTTGGTTTAAAACAAAATACTCTTTATAATTATAAATATTCATATTTATATTATAGTACCACCCAAAGGCCCAGTCAGGATCTGGGTCACATTGTGCTAGGCACTGTACAAACACATGGTCCAACTGAGTTTATCTCTCTCTTTGACGAATTTTTCCAGAGTAGAAAATTGAACTGACCCAGTAAAATCAGAATTCAGAATTTTTATTTAAAAGCATTCTCTGATCCACCACTCACTTCCAAGGTTTTTGATTAAGGTCTACGCATTGGTTACTAGTAAAAAAAAAACAGCTTTATTGACCAACCTAGAATATTTAGATCTTGAACATTATTAGTCATTTAATATTATATGGTACACCCTTTGTAATGTAACTGATCTACATTTTTGCCCACCCAAAAATATTACCTTGATTGAATTCAGCTAAATTATAAGGGCCACAGGGAGCTGTGCTTAAAAAAACAATGGCATGATATAGCCCAAACTTATTTTTATGGATGGACTACAACTTCCCTTTTGTCAATATTTTTTTCATTGCATACCACTAATCTATCATTCAACTTTAATACAAGGCCACAGAAAGAGATTAGCATTTAATTCCCTATATTTGTGTGCACTTTTTACCACAGCCCAAAATAAGCTGGATGAAAAACAAAGTGACTATATTAAATGACCCAAGATACAGGATGTTTGGTAACCAAGGTGTCTGTACCTTGGAGATCCGCAAACCCAGCCCTTATGACGGAGGTACTTACACCTGCAAAGCAGTCAATGAGCTTGGCGAGGCAGCGGTTGAATGCAAACTGGAAGTGAAAGGTAAGGTTTCGAAGATCAGAGCTAATCCACTCTTTGTTTAGATACAGTATATATTAGAGTCAAGAGTGCAGTAAGCAAATGCCAGGGGGTATATCCTACCACCATTTTTATTCAAATATCCATTGACTTCACGGGTTGTTTTGTGAGTGGACATGACCCTTAGGGACCAGGTGTACTGCTTATGTGACAAACTTTAGCGCGACTCTCCGATGTACAGCACATGTCACAAGCATTAGGCAAGGAACAGTTTTGGATGGGAGGAGAATCTGTAAAGGATGCCAAAAGGAGTCAAACTAAACACGGCAATAAAGTTTGTCAGCCTTAAACAAAAGAAAATAAAAGGAGGTGGAAGAGGAGGTTGGAGCAGAGCTGGGTAGAACTGGGGGGGCTGGATCAGAGCTGTTGAAGGTGGGGGAAGGGGCTTGGGGTGGAGCTCAGAGGGTGTGGATCACAGATGGGAGAATGGGGGTTACAGGGGGTTGGAGCAGAGCTGGGGGAGGGCTTGTACAGGCCTGAAATGGGGCTGGAGTGGGATCAGGAAAATAGGAGGCAGGAGGGGAACTAAAAGAGCCTGCGGGGGTGACTGCATAGGGACTGGGGGAGCTGGGGGCTGAACTGAAGGACTCTGGAGGATGGTTGAGGAAGAGCTGGGCTGGGGCCAGATCAGAAATGGAGCAGGGTGCGCAGGCGGGGAGGGGGGAACTGTGGCAGGTACTCAGGACATGTAGCGAGCCTCGAGGGAGCTGGAGGGAATCTTTCAGGAGCTGGGGGGTGGGATGGCTCGACTGGGGCTGTGAGGGAGCTAGTGGTCTGGAGGGACAGGAGGGCTGGAAAGGAGGTAGGGGATGGGGGCTGGATCTGTGGGGGACCTGGAGAAGGGCAGATTTCAAAATCAGAAAAGGGCTCCCTAACCTATTCTTGCCCCAGGGTACTTTGAAGCTTTGTTACACCACTGATCTAGATAGTTCTTCCACTGTCCAGTGCAGGGTTATTCCCTACAGTATATTTTCCTAGTGTTTTGCCCAATGTACTTTTAAATGCCTCACGTAATGGCACGTCCACTAGTTTCCTAAGGAGAATCTTTCACTGGCTTATAGATCTTATTATTGTATTTGTTTTTAGGAAAAATACATATAGAGAATCATACTGATTTTGCAAACAGATATGAAGGGGAAAAAGTTGGTCAGATTTCTGCAACCTTGAAAATATCCCTTTAAATCCATTAAATGAATATATTTTATGAATTCAAGATGTTTTAGTATTGACTGCAGGTATTGTGAATGGTCCTAAGGCCCAATCCAACACCTGAAGTCAATGGGATTTGGATCAGACATGCAGTAAATGGTCTAAAAAGCATATTTTCATAGGATTACCAGTTCATAAAAGACTTACTCTGTAGCCATTATTTTGTATGCAGTGAAAGCCAATATATTTAGCTTTTCTATATTGTTTGCTTTCTGTTTTTTTTGGATTATGATTAACATTGTCTCTCATTTCTGAAAAATCTTGTCACACAGCTCTAATATGGTAGCAAGGAAGTAATGACATAACTGGTCTGTTCATAAAGTGGTGTGTTCATCTAATGAGAGTGGTAGTAAAGCCACATTTCTTGACTGTCCTGCTACCTTTTTACTATATTCTGGCAGGTGAAAGTGATGTCCTCCATTCTAGATGTATACAGTCTGTTTCTTAATACCAAGCAAGGCTCCCTGTTTCACAGCACAGCAGAAGATTATATGGCCTAACAAAGACAGCCATTGATCACTAAAATCTAGAGGCCAAGTTAGACTAATCTTTCATTATACTTCATAAGCCCCCAAGCCCTAAATACCTTACCAGTAGTTACCTTCAACTTTTGAATCTTTAATGTTCTGCTCATAATAAAATGGTCAAAATAACACAATTCTATGATCACAGTAAGATCTCTTTTCAGAGTAACAGCCGTGTTAGTCTGTATTCGCAAAAAGAAAAGGAGGACTTGTGGCACCTTAGAGACTAACCAATTTATTTGAGCATAAACTTTCGTGAGCTACAGCTCACTTCATCGGATCTCTCTGTAAGATCTCTCTGTCTCTCTGTGTGTCCAATGACTTAACAGGGCACTTTTTCCCTATAGAATAGCTTTTAATTAAATTAAAATAGATCATATCAAACATGTTCAAACAGAAGAAACAATGTTGGTTAATATTTGTCAAATTTAGGAGTCTTAAGCATCCATAGATGTTACTGTTGCCGAAGACTGTGTAGCATTCTTCAGTAAACCCATCAACAGTGTTGATAATAACTGTACATGGGAAAAGATCCAGTATGGTGCTTTTGTTGAGTGTGAAACCCTATACTCTGGAATTCTTTGCTACTGGACATCAGGATGAATTATAGTCTTGCCACTTTTAGTATATGATGCAAGACCCACCTCTTTATTCAGCCTTTCCCTGGTATCTAAGCCACAGGTTACTTTGCAACATTGACCTGAAAATCGTTGACGAAGAATTGGTCCTGCCCTGAAGAGTGGTTTATTGAGGAATGAATGAGAGATTTTGCCATTCTGATCAATATTGATGTGAATCTTGTTTCTTTACATTTGGCATTTACAAATTGATGTTTGAAGTGTAAAAAGGCTTAGATCATTTTTCAATGGGTCTGTTATGCTCCGTAATGTAGTTAGGTAGAAGTTTAATGTCTATGATGCAAAAAGTAATTACCAGCTACATTTGAGATGACCTCTTTGAGCCTTTCCCTGATGGGAATTTGATCTGACACCACCCACCTCTTACTACTTTTTTAAAAAATGAATTTATAAGACTCTAGTCCGGTGCGCTGGACATTGCACAAAAAATTGCAAACAATCCAAAATACTGCCACTGATGGCCATGCCTACCCCCATCCATGACTGTCTACTTCAACAGCTTGTTATATCAAAGGGAAAAAATTCTTCACAACTCAGCTCCTAACATTGCCCATGCCCCAGCCCCTCAGTTAGATCTCTTCATCCCCCAATCATCCATCCCAAGGAGAATCCTCAGTAAACAAGCAGGTCTTGCAGCATGTCCTGAAGGTCACACTGAAGTTTTCAGCAGACCAACTCAGGAAGCAAGTTCCAAAGCCAAAGAATCATTCAGCAAGAATGTCAAACTAGCAGCCCTGTCCTATTCATACTGCCAGGGGACAGCTAGCTCAAGTGCCTCAAATGACCTCAGTTGCTATGGTATCACATCCTAGATTAGCAAACAATCATGCATGTGCTGTGATGGGAAGAAGGGTGTGAAACTCACTCCCCATGGTGATGCCTCAGTCCATCCTTCCCCACTTTTAAACAAAACCTTCCCCCGCTCCACCCCTGCCTTTGCCCTCAAGAGCTTTAAAGCATGATCATTGTTGGATCCTTATTTATAGCTTCCATGCCTCCTTTTTTTCTTAAAGAACTCAATATTTACTTTAAAAAAGTAAAGTGAATGATCTTGACAGACCTTAGAGACTATGCAAAAGCTGAAAGTCTTAATGTTCAAAGCACATATCCATTTTCTGCATCAGATCTGGAAAGAGTCCTAGAAATAGTGTGTTTTGTCAGTGTCCCATCCTGGGCTGTAGGTTCTCACTCTCTTTTTGTTATTCCACGTCACACCTCTCTTGTTGATTGACTGGTTTTTAAATGGTTTTAAATGGTTATGGTTTTTAAATCCAAACTCATATTAACCGTTGGGCAGTCCAGCGCACCCCCCCTCCCCAACTCATGAGGCATGCAAATCCTTTTCCCCTTCCTAATTCCCAATTAGGGACCACGAATCATCTCTCTTGTTTATATTCCTTCCTTTCAGGTAGCATATTTTGCCATTAATTTCATCACCTTTCAAAAGAAGCATGTTGTTAGACTCAAATACAGTACATCTGTTGTGAGGTTTCAGTCTGCTGCTTTTAAAGTCAGGGAGAGTTTAACCATGGCATTCAACAGGAGTAGGATCAAGCCCATAATCAGCAATTGTACTGAACATAAGAACGGCCAGACTGGGTCAGACCAGTGGCCCATCTAGTCCAGTATCCTCTCTTCCAACCATGGCCAGGGCTGGATACTTCAGAGGGAATGAACAGGACAGTGCAATATTTTCAATGATCCATCATCCCCTGTTGTCCAGTCCCAGCTTCTGGCATCTGTGCGTTAATAAACAGTCCGGGTTTGCTATGTGAAAGAGAGACAAACGCAGTGGGTATCACACATAGCCAGACTGTAAAAATGTAACTTTACCAGTGTTCCCCCATCCATCCGCTTATATGATGGTTGTGCGCTCTGTTACCCTTCCCAGCCCGTCTGCTACCTCAGCAAGAGCCATCAGATGCTTGAGCAGCACAACCACACAAAGAAAAGTGATCTCTGGAGGAAAGGCGTTCTAAGTCAATGGAAACAGACCTTCGTGTGTATATTTTTTTAAAATGTAACTTCTGCTTTACTCCAGGAAGTAAAACATTAGGGCCTGAGTCTACAGTCATTTTTCAGGCAAAACATTATTGATTTCAAAGTGAATTTTTCCTGGGCAAGGACTGCAGGGTCAGAGTTGTCATTTAAGGGATGTTACATGGTTGGTGAGTGTAACAGCTACAGTCGTGCCTCTACTTTTCTTTCTGGGTAGCACATCAGGTGAGACAGATATACACTATCCTAGGCTATATGTTGCACTAACTCTCGGCTTTCTAAATAGTCCAGAATTTCTTTCATCTGTTTCTGAGCTGTTAGTAATCTCTGTTTTAACACGTAGACCTATTCCTAGGAATGTCACAAAAATATCATGGATACAGTGTACTACTCATATTTTATATGGTATCTAAATAAATGAAAAGTTATGGTAATAGCACGGTACACCGGTAGTGCATTACAATTTTATTCTTTTATCACTTTGCATATATCACCTTAGGCTTCAAATCTAGACTATCAGGAGTTACAAATTTTACCTCATTTCTTTAAACATTTTATTGACTATAATAGACAAATAGAATAACAAGTATTTCAT